GCTTTTAGTATACTGTTCCTATGCTGAATTTCTGGGACCTTCATTTTTTTATGTCTGGGTGTGGTTTCCATTGGATTGATATTATTTGGAGTTCTATATGCTTCGGTGACAGGAATGTCAGATTGTTGCCCCATATTTGGGAAGTTTTCTGCTATTACTTCTTCCCATATTCTTTTTATATCATTTGTACTGACTCCTTCCTTCTCATTGATGCCTATTAGTCTCACATTGTTCATCTTTGCATCGTCTTGCAGGTATTGAATTATTTTATCCTTCATCCTAGTTGTTTTAAAGAGATCTTTTCTTTTTCACTAGCTGCAATGGTGTCTTTAAGGTCAGAAAGTCTATCTTCACTTTCCCTCAAACAGTTTTGCCAGCTTGTGATTGAGGTTTTAATTTCCTGTATACCACTCTGAACCTGTTTCATACATTCTATTTCTTTCCTAAATTGTTTATTCAGGGGTTCCATCATTTTTATATTTTCCTCTATTTTTTTTACTTAGTACTTCTTTGATTATAGTTATCACTACATTTTTTAGTTCCAAAATTATTTCTGATCTGATTTCTTCTATACCTTTCTGTAGTTGATTCTTTACTGTCAACACTATTATTTCCGAGATATCTGGTATGTGATTTCCAGTCTCCTCAGTGCTAGTGTCTTCTGCATTTGTACTGGGTGGACTTGGGGCCTGAGACTGCATTTTGTTCTCTTTGTCATTTTGTATACCACTGTCTTCTGACCTTTGGTGTAGAGCATAGAGTTATTACCTTAGCACCAGGTCCGGATCTATGAAGTTCAGATTCCTCCAGGTGGGTGTTGTTTGGATCTGGCTGCTGCGCTCCACTTCTTTCTGCTGCAGGCGTTAGAGCTGAACCCTTTGTGTCACTCTGGCAAGATGTTCTGCTCCTGAATCAGTGGGGTGGGTCTTGCCTCTAGCCTCTTTGCAGGGAGTTCTGCTGAAGGGTTCCTCTCTGGGCCTGCACTCTGGGTCAACTGAGGATCCACGGGCCCTGGGTCGTCTCACTCACTCTCTGGGCCAGGGTTCTGGGTCTGTTCAGGATCCCGCCAAGCCCCAGGTCGTCTCACTCACTCGCCAGGCCTGTGCTCTGGGTCTATTCACGATATGGAGGGCCCTGGGTTGTCTCACTCACTTGCCGGGCCTGCGGTCTGGGACTATTCAGGATCCTGTGGCCTGGGTCGTCTCACTCACTCCCCATGCCTGCGCTCTTAGTCTATTCAGGATCCTGAGGCCCCAGTCCTCTTACTTGCCAGGCCTGCATTCTGGGTCTATTCAGGATCCTGTGGCCTGAGTCGTCTCACTCACTCACCAGGCCAGCGCTCTGGGTCTCAACTTGTAGTATTTTGCTCCATGCTCTTCTTGACTTCATGGTTTGTGAAGAGAAATATGCCATTATTCTGATGGGTTTTTCTTTAAATGTTGATCTGTTTCTTTTCTCTAGAGGCTTTTAGTATACTGTTCCTGTGCTGAATTTTTGGAATGTTGATTATTATATGTCTGGGGTGTTTTTAATTGAGTTGATGTTATTTGGAGTTCTATATGCTTCGGTTACTGAATGTCAGATTGTTTTCCCATGTTTGGGAAGTTTTTTGCTATTACTTCTGCACATATTCTTTTTATGTCATTTGTATTAATTCCTTCTGTCTCATCGATACCTATTAGTCTTATGTTGTTCATCTTTGCATCATCCTCACAGATGTTGGAAATATTTTTTCCTACATCCTAATTGTTTTTAAGAGATCGTTTCTTTTCACTAGCTGTAATGGTGTCTTCAAGGTCTGAAAGTCTATTTTTACTTTTATTCAAACAGTTTTGCCAGCTTGTGATTGAAGTTTTAATTTCCTGTATAGCACTTTGAACTGCTTCATGCATTCTATTTCTTTTCTATATTGCTCATTCAAGGATTTCCTCATTTTTATATTCTTTTTTTTTAATCTGTGTCTTCTTTAGAAGCACTTAGTATTTCTTTCATTATAGTCATCTTTTTTTTATTTTAGAAATTATTTATGCTCTGATTTCCTCTATATCTTTCTGCAGTTGTTTACTTCCAACACTATTATTTCAGAGATTTCAGGTGTGTGTGATTTCCAATTTCTTCTATGCTATTGTCTCCTGCATTTGTTCAGGGTAGGCTCGGGGCCTGAGAATGCATTTTTCTCCCTCCTTTTCTTTGTCATTTTGTATAACACTATCTTCTGACCTTTGGTGTAGAGCTTTGGTAGAGTTATTACCTTAGTACCAGGTCCAGATCTACCAAGTTCAAACTCATCCAGGTAGGTGTGGTTTGGGTCTGGCTGCTGTGCTCCACTTCTTCCTGCTATAGCCCTTGGAGGTGAACCCTCTATGCCACTCTGGCAAAATGTTTTGCTCCTAGATCAGCTGGGTGGGTCTTGCCTCTTGCCTCTTCTGCAGGGAGTTCTGCCCCAGGATTCCACACCAGGCCTGTCTGATGGATAAAGTTCCACTCCCATGCCTGGCCTGGGTTCTGGGTCCAATGAGGATCTGGCGGGCCCCAGGTGGTCTCACTTACACACTGGGCCTGGGCTCTGGGTCGAATCCCAAAACCTTTTAAAATCGTTACATAACCAAAATATTATCTACATTTATTCTTACCATGTAAGAAGATATATTTTTAAAGAGGTAAAGAACTATTAGTATTGTTTCTGTATATTCCAGTTGTGTATATGTAGTTAAATGAAGTCAATTCCCTGAGAATATATAAATTCTGAATAATATTTATCTGCAAATTAGTGGAATGTTTTTCAAAACCTAAATGGATATGCATATCTAAGATATACTTTGTTATGTCTTTCTTTTTTCAAAGGAGTTGATGACATTTCAAGGGAAAAAAAAAAAAAAGAATCTACAGTTATGTTAATAATCCTCCTCCCAAAAAAACCTAAGCAAAAAAGAGAGTGAAAATTAAAAATCAAGTACCCTACATGCAATGTGGCAACCTGGAGTAAAAGAAAGAGGACACTTTTGGAAAAACTGATAAGGATAAAATTTTGAGTTTAGTTAGCAGCAGTACACCAACATTAATTTCTTAGAGAAAGAGATCAGTAATTATGATTTTGTTTTGAAAAATACATTATGGCAATGTAAGATGTTGATACTGGAGGAACTGAATGAAAGATATATAGGAACTCTGTATTAACTTCGCAACCTTCCCATAAACCTAAAGTTAGCTTCAAATAAAGTTATTAAAAATACCATTGTGGGGGCCTATAAATGTGACACATCCATTTATTCTGCATCTCCATATATTTGTAAAAAGCTTTTGATGTACAGCCACAGTGAAAAGCTACTGAACTATCAGCCCACTATTTTCAGAAAATCTTCAGAATTATTTTAAAAATTGGACAATACTTTAGCTGTTTTTATTAACACAGGTTAATTTTATCATAATAAATACCACCAGAAAGGTCATTACATACAATGCATTTCATGGCTAAGATGCGATGTATTTGGTTGATGTGCTCATAACAAAGACTCTTACCTAAACAATGTTTTACCCTGTTTTTGTAAAAGAGCTATTAAAAATAAGCTTTACATTATAAACAGGCTCAACTCACCAGGTGGCATAGGCTTCATATCAGCATCAAACACCAGTAAATCTTGTTCTCCTTCCCTAAATTCAACACGAAGAATATCACTAAGAGCTCCTACAAGTTCTGTCACATTTAAGAAGCCCAAGTTCCTTGGTGAAAGTTGCTCTTTAAAACTTATCTGTCAAAAAAAATAGAAATTACATATAAACAACAGATAACAGAAACAAACAGTATAGGGATGGGTCACGTGGAGATAGCTCAGCAGTCACAAGGACCCGGGTTCCATCCCGAATGCTGGCCACCGAAACCAGGTGTGGTAGTACAAGACTGTAATCCCATTGCTGGCTAGGCTAACACAGGAAGTTCACTAAGAGTCTGAGCCACATAGAGAGACCCTAGACTAAACACATAAAAAAATATATATATATATATATATATATATATATATATGGATGCCCTCAGATGATGTTTTAATTTGGATTTTGCCAAAGTGAATTTGTGTCAATAAACTCAAATATAAACTCTGAATTGTTTTAGAGTATGCAGAACACTGAAGTGAAAATAAGGGGACCCTTTGCCCAATTGCAGCAGATTACTGTATAAAGCAAAACAGTCCTCAGAAGGAGGGTTGAAAAAAAAAACAAAATCACAATAAAACTATTGTTATTTATATACGTTTAGAGAAAGAAAATATTATCATTACTTGGTATATTTAAAAATTTCTTAAATTTTATTATGTCATCTTAGAAGTTATGATAAATAGGTAATCATCCATCTGGGTATTTCTTGAAGTATGGTTTGATTTTCTTGCCTTGGTAAAGAGAGGTCATACCAAATAAAGACATAACACATAGGACAGACACTATATACATTTTGGATTAAACTACACAGACAACTGGTAAGTTTACCCTTGTGAAAAAGGCCTGCTACTACAAATTCTCAAAATCTTAATTTGTTATTTATCTAGTGAACCAAGGGAAAGCAGCTGGGTGAATAATTATTGATCTCTTCTGTTGTCTAGGTCAGTGGTAGCAAATCTATGGCATGTGTTACTCTTCTTCTAAGACAAGAGATGCTCATGTGTTTTTCTGAACTCAAACCTCAATATTCAAGCTTAATTGCACTGTTGGCACTGTGTGAATAAATAAGTGGGTTTTGGGTTGCAATTTGGGCACTCATCTCTAAGGTTTGCCATCGCTGGCCTGTTTTAGTATGAAATAAAGCCTTGCTTCTGACTTAGGTAAGATCAACATGAACAGAGACGGCAAAGACTATAAAGTGACTGACCCTTGAGTGAGGGCAGTGCAGCTCCAACATAGACAATTATGTGACACTTTCAGACCCAAATGAACTTTTTATAGCTTGTCACGTGGAACACTAAAAAAAGGAGGATCCCAAAATCCATCATGTTATGGTCTAAGAATATTGTATTTTTACCCTTGAACACCCCAAGAAGAAAAGAAGTGGTCCAAGAAATGAGGTTGTAGCAAATTAAAACTAGTATCTCTATTTACTACTTTATTCATTGCCTATTCCAGTCTCCTTTGTGTTCACTGGTCATTAATGGTCTCTTTACCCTCTTTAGTTTTAGTACCATGAAAATACAATTCAAATGAACATAATACTGGGTTGGGAGGAATTTTTAAAAATAGAGGTTTACTAAGTTTTTGAGAAGTGACATATTCAGAAGGCTCAAAAAAGTATACAGAAAAAAAGTCTTCAGCTCCCCCTTAATTCTTCAGTCAAGTAGAAATCACTTCTCTTAAAGTTAATTACCAGGTTTTTGTGCAACTTCCCAGAAACTGTCAAAATTTGAACATGCTTTAACATATAAGGTACACATTTTTTCCATTAATATAGGGAATGTTATAGAAACACAGCTGCATCTTAATTATGAGCCTGAGAATTAGTTTCTTTTATTGATACATCAGATATATTCTGTCCCAATTCCTTTCTTATGCTTTCTGCTTCACTCTGAACTATGAACAAAGAAGACAATGACTTCTACTGTTACTCTCCTTACTTTCCCTCTATCCCCAGTCTATTATTTCTCAGAGTTTAGATTTATGCCTTCAAATATATGTATACATTTTAAACATGATTTTATTTCACAATCATTTGGATTTTTCTGATGATAAACTCATAGTACAAAAACTATTTCCTACAAGTTGGCAGCTGATCAGACTTATGCTTGATCCCCTTGACAAGCTACTAAATGACAAGGTCTATGTTCTTTTAGAAAAAGATATCTGATGCTTGGTTGTCCCTTTGGGGGTAGTTAGGAGACGTATGGTCAAGGCCTAGATTCATTATTTTGTTGAGGGCTTTAACTGTGACTCTTATCGTTTTTCACTAGAGTATTTGCATAGAGGTATGTTTCTCCTCATTTACTACTGGTTATCTAATCTCATAGTAGTACATACAGAAAACCAGAATAAGTTTTTCAAGATGATTCTTTATCATCCTGAATGATTCTTACGAATCACATGAGCTCACAGAATTAAATTTGGTGGACTGTAAGCCACTGCAATTGCTATTCTTATTAAAGCCCAAAATAACTCTTCAAGCATATTTCTAAGCTCTTTTGATGTAAACCTTAACCTCTGCAGTTTTCTTGCTAATGTGGCATGACAAAATGTTTTAGGTTCAATTTATGTAATTAAAGCATCTTGGTTCATACTATTAGAACTATGCCATAATTATTTACTTTTATTATATGATATTACATAACAGTCTACAAATAAAAATAGTAATTTTACAACCAATCTAATTGATAAAAAGAAGCTTTTGCATATACTCAGCCCTCCATGTACCAATTTGTACAATGTATTTTGAGAAACTAAATCCTTATCTTTAATGTTCTTACATGAACATTCAGATTTTCTACTTCAGCTTGCTTCAGTTTAGTACACTGTGCTTTTTAAAGAACTTGGCCACTTCATCTAAATTGTCAGTTATTTGTAATATTTCTTTGTTTTTTTAGTATCTGTAGAATCTATAATGATGTAATTTCCTTCCCTGGTATTGATAACTTGTATTCTCTCTTTTTTTCCACACTTCTAATTTATTCATTTGTTATTTCATTTGGTTTTATGAATTTTCTCTTGATTCTTTATTGATATCTATTTTTAACTTTAGCATTTTTTTCTTCCCATGTTTACTTTTCTCTTTGTTCTATTGTAATAGATCTTTAAAGGCAACTTCTATCCTTTTCTAACATAAGCATTTAAAGTTATGTCTTTCAGCTCTAGTTTAGTTGCATCTCTCAAATTTTGATACATTTATTATTTTCCTTTCCAATCAATTTTATTGGTGCATTTTATATAAACATAATGATCACACTTCATAGAGATTTTGTACTGTACATATCTTATTTTTTCCCATTCCCTTCTCTTTAACTCCCTCTCCCATTTACAAAAGCTTTGTTTCCATTTTTTTTCCTTCTTTTCTCATTTACTTTTCCTGTCTTTCCTTTTCCCCTTCCCTCTACTTTGTGCTCCTCCCCATTTGAACATTTTCTTCCTACTTAATAATATGATACCTATTATAAATCTGGTCCTTATTTACAGTTTAACTTTCTGACACCAGAGAAAAAATGCAATTTATAGACAAGTGTCTGATTCTTGTCTGTTATTTTTCTCCCATTCCTGGGACAAAATACTAGGCACCCAAAATCAAGAAAGGATTATTTAGCTCACAGTTTGTGGAGGTGTCAGACCCTACCCAGCTAGCTGTAAGGAAGAGTGGCACATGGCAGAGGGCAGCAGTTCATGGCGGCAGAAAACAGCAAAGGGCAAAGGAACCAAAAGGGAGCAGCAGTGGCTATGGCAGCTAGCAAGCCTCTCTCCCTTTCTTATACTATATTCAGGCTAAGCACCCCAGGGCAGGTGAAGCACTCACACACATAATCCCAACACTGGACCATGAATTAATCACAAACTCTAGAAGCTGCCCCAATGACTGCATGAGGCTCTGGGGGGACAACTAGACACAAATCATAACAGGTCTTAAGGTATATTCATTTACCTAGGAATAGCTCAAGCTTATTCTTCTTTACAACAGAGTAGTACTCCAAAACATATATATATATCCGTATTCATTTATCCCCACATCTTCTTTATCCATTTACCAGTTGATGAACATTCTGGCTGTTTCCAAGATGTGGTTATTACAAATTGTGTAACTATAAATATGCGTGTGTATGCATGTAACACTGTGGTATTACGCTTTTAATTCTTCTGGGAAGATACATACAGGAGAATAGCTGAGTGAAATGGGATCTTTAATCCTGGGTTTTTGAGAAATATGTACATACTTTCTACAGTGGTCGCACTAATTTACACTTCCACCAACAGTTAAAATGGGTTTCTTCTTAAGAAACAGCGCTACCAGCATTTGTTATTGGTCAATTTCTTTATAACAGCAATTCCTTCTAGGGTGAGATCGAACCTCAGAATTGTTTTAATTTGCATCTCTTGAACAGTGATGTTGAATACTTTTAATGTATTTATTTGCCATTTGTATTTCTTCTGAGAAGTGTTTTCACCTCAGATGTCCATTTTTATTATTTTTTATATTTTAGGGAAGAGTCTACAGGGTGTTCAGGGTCTCACTACTACATCGAACTCATAGTAATCCACCTCTTTACAACCTCCCAAGAGCTGGGATTACAGGCACGTACCACCATACCCAGTCTTAACTGCCACCTCAGTGCACTCTGGGGCAGGGCCAGCATGGCAGGTCTAGGGATTGAAACCCTGCTCCCTGCACTAGATATCCATTTTTAGATAGGGTGTGTGAATTTGGGGGGGGGCCTAAGTTTTGTTAATTCTTTATATGTTCTAGATAGAAGTCCTTTGTCTGAGGCATTAGTTGGCTAATTTTTTTTCTCAATCTGTTTTTCCTCTCACTCTGATTTCTTTTGATGTGCATCAACTTTTTAATAAGATCAAATTGCATTGTTGACATTATTCCCCATGCAGTTAGGATTTTGAAGTCTGTACAGTAAAGAGTTTGAGAGATGGTATTAGATCTTTTTCCTAAATTTCTTGTAGAATTCACAAGTGAATTCATCAGAGCCTGAGCTTTTTTGTGGTCAGGTTCATAATCTTCAATATCATTGATATTGGTATATTTAGGATTTTTATATCTTGATTTAGCTTTGGTAATTCATATGTATATGGGAATTGGTCCACTTCTTTTGCACTTTCCATTTTATTAGAATACAAGTTCTCAAAGTAGGAACAAATGATCTTCTGGATTTTGGTAGGGTCTGTTCTGATTTCACCCTTTTCATTCATAACTTCATGAATTTGAGTCTTTTCTTTCCTTTTTTGATAAAATTGGCTAAGGGTTTGTCAATTTTAGTCTCTCAAAGAACATTTCAATTCATTGATTCTTTGTATTATTTTCGTAGTTTCCATTGCATTAATTTCTGCTTTGATCTTTATAATTTCCTCCCTTGTATAAGCTTTGGGCTTGGCTTGCTACCTTAGGCTTGAGCTCTTTAGTTGTTTATGCCATTGAGCTATCTCCCCAGTTAATTTCTTCTTTAATTTTATCTGTGACCCATTTGTAGTTCAGGAGGATGTTACTTAATTTCCACATGTTTATGAAGTTCTTGTGGTTTCTTCTGATACCGATTTCCAACTTCATTCCACTATAGTCATCATAGGATGATTTAAATTCCTCTGCATTTATTTAAGCATGTCCTATGAGCTAGCATGTGGTCTATTTTTGGGAACATCCTGTGTATAGATAAGAATGTGTATTCTGATGTTGTAGGGTGGAATATCCTATGGACATGTACATGTACTAAGTCCATTTGCTCAAAAATTTGGTTCAGTTCTAATATTTCATTATTGATTTATCTACTTGGTCTATTTGTGATAGCGGAGTATCAAGAGTCTTCAATACAATTGTATTAGTGCTTATTTGATTTTTTTGTCATGCCTGTTGATGTATTTTATATAATCGGGTGCTATGGTATTTGCTGTATATATTTAAGGTTGTTATCTCTTCCTCTCAGATTATTCCTTTTACAAGGATATAGTAGCTGTCATTGTCTCTTAATCAGTCCTGGGTTGAAATCCACTTTGTCTTTAAACAGAATAGCTATACCTGATTTTTTCTGGGTTCCCGTCACATGGAATGATGTTTTTCAGTCTATGAATTTCTTTTTAAATTAAATGTTTCTTGAACACAGCATATTGAATCTTGCTTCTTGATCAATTCTATCAGTGTTTGTCTTTTGATGGGTGAATTCAGACCATTAACATTCATGGTTATAATTGGTACTTCTCAGAGGTATCTTCCAGGTGTAACTGGCTTTGGGTCTGTTACAAAAATCCTACCTCTTCAATTTGTTGGGGATGAGAAGTTGCTGCCTGTTTAGTCTAGACACTGGTCCTTTGGCATTGGCCCAAAATATTTTCCATAACCTCAAAACATTCTCAGTCTTGGTATACCAGGAAGAACAGCTGATTAGAATCACTATGTCACTTAGGCTAAAGTGATACAATCAGCAATAACAATAGCAGTGAACATTACCTAGAAAATGACAGACTGAGGTAACAATTTGGCACCTTTAATCATATGACCTATATTTGTGATAATATAACAAAATCTAAAACCAGAAAACTGTATGCAGTAAATAAGCCCTCAACATGCTAATTTCACCATCAGGGAAGAAAACTGAAAAGTGGTTGGGGGAAAAATAGAGAAATAGAAGAGGAAAAGATTAGAAGGAAGGCTGGAGGACAAAGGAGGATCATGCAAACTTTGAGATACTGGTGCAGAAGACAAGACGGACAGAAAGAAGGAAGAAATAAAAGAAACTACCACCACAAAGAAACTAGAAACCATGTTCACACTCATAAAAGCAAGATCAAATGATAAAAGAAAAAAATGTCCATTTCTAGGTTTGTCTCTGTCACTGGTGAACAATGTATGAAGACAGAGTCCAGACCTGTACTGATTAATCTCAACAAGCCAGCAGTAGCTTTATGGGGGGCAGTGGTAGCAGACACTTTTAGCAAGCTCGCACCTTTATTTCTCCTGAAGTTCAGGCTGGTTTCTGGCTGAGGCTGTGACCAGACCCATTCAGTCTACAGCCATCAGTGCACTTTCTGTAGGCTTGAACTCAGCTGGGAGCTGCTGAGTGGAGCATGTAGTTCTGAGCTCTGAGTTCTGAGAGTTAACTCCTCTCCAAGATGGCTCCATGCTAATCCCCCCTCCCAGAGGACGTCTGATCCTTCAGCACTCACCAGCTAGTATACTCCTCTATTTCTACTGTTCCCTTTCACTGCTGTGTCTCTCTCTGTGGAAGCCTCTGGGGTCACCAGCAGTCTCACCGTGTATCCACAAAATGTGTCCCTGCTCCACTGACTACCTCCTTCTTTGTTGAAGTTTTCTCTTCACTCACCCTGTAGGCTTCATTTCTCACTTCAGATCCTTCCTAAGTCCAAAAGACCTACCTTTCTTTCTGTATTGCTATATATCTCATTTTTCAACTGGAAATATTTTCTACTTTCTTTTGTAATTTCTCCTCTTATTTGAAGAATGATTAGTTTCCAACTATCTGTAGGGCTTTGAGTAACTTTTTTTTTTTTTTTTTTCCCGAACTGGGGATTGAACTCAGGCCCTTGCGCTTGCCAGAAAAGTGCTGATTTTGAGTAACTTACTACACTGATTTGTAACATAGTTCCATCTTAACCAGAGACTATAACTGTAAAATTTTAGTATCTTAAAATTTGTTGAGATTTATTTTATAGTCAACCATAGTCTGTCTTGGCAAATGTTTCATAGGTAATTAAATATATATTCTTCAGGTACTGAGTACAATATTCTATAGATGTTAATGACAAAAATAGAGTATGTTGTCAAGATATTCTGTTTATTCATTTTTAAAGCTAATTTTATAAATTTCTAAGAATATTAAAATCTTCAACTATATTTGTGGCTTTTTTTTTTTTTTTTTTTTTTTCGGAACCGGGATTGAACTCAGGCCCTTGCACTTGCCAGGCAAGCACTGATCCTACTGGGCTATCTCCCCAGCCCCAAATTATTATTTTATTTTATTTTTTAGAGCAGAATATATTTATTGAGGAAAAAAAAAGCTCCTGTCTGAGAGAGGGACAGGAGGGGGGCCCGAGCAGGTTGTCCCTAGGAAATTGGTGGAATTCTTAATTCTAATTTTAGAGTATTTACTTTAAAGCATTGATACTGAGTGAACAAACGGGGTGACTTTTATTTTTCTAAAGAATTAATCCTTTATCCTTATAAAAACATGGATCTCTGACAACACATTTTGAGTCTGCTTTATCTGATGCACTTTTAATTACTACAGCTCTTTTATGCTACTGGTTGTATGGCATATCTTCACCTTTTATTTTGAACCATCTTCCTTCATATTTATACATGTTCCCTGCAGACAGCATAGTCAGTTGCACTTTATTATCCAGTGTCATAGCTTCTATCATTTAACTGTAGTTCATTTACATTTACGAAATTAGCACTTTAATTAGATTTAAAGTTTAAACTCTTAATTTCTGTTGATCTTGCCTGTATTTTATTTCTTTGTTCATTTCCTGTCTTTTCAGTTTATTGTGCATTTTTATACAATTTCTCTTAATTTATCTATTAGCTTTATAGATATAATTCTGCATTTAATGGTTGTTCTGGGCATTGTAATATACAACGTTAACTTCTCTCTTACCATACCAATTCACATAAAATATAAGAATTTCACAACCCTATAGCTTCACATAAGTTTCCCCCCACCCTCCAGTTATGCTATAGTTTTCGTATGTACTGTACACCTTCAAATTATAAACCCAATTATACATCACTTTTGCTTTAATAATTTGAGGAAAGAAAACAGTCTTTTAGATATGCCATATCTTTTCTTCTTAAATCCTTCCTAATATTCAAGTTCCAAGCTACATCATTTCTTCTGGCATGAAGTATCTTACAGTATCTAGTAGATCTGTTTACAATTCTCTAGTTTTGATTATCTGAAAAATATATTTTACCTTCATTCTTGGTATTATTACTGCAAATAAAACCAAGAATATGTGTGAAGTATTGTTTCTCCACAACCCTAGTTGATACTTGGTACTGTCAGACATTAAAAATAATGTTCATTCCAATGATGTTCATACAAGTAGCAAAAATAGCCTTCCTATGTATAACCAAGTATTTATATGAGCCATGTTCTTACCTTGTAATCAAGACACTAAAATGCAAAACAAGATGTTTAAATGCTAAAGCATATAGACTTGGAGTGTCCAAGGGGCAACAACGAAGTTTCTATCACAGGAAAGATAATCCATAAAAGACATTAGGGTTTGTGAAAAAGAAAAAACTTACCTCAAACTCTCTAAGCAGTTTAGAAATAAACAAACCCTCTGGAAACTTAGATACAACCTAATAAAAAATAAAATATAGACACAATTAGAATGTTATGAGACAAAATTTTTAAAGACAGTATAAAATTAGAAACAAAGGCAAAAAACAATGTTGAATAAATTTTTTTACATTAGATATTTTAAAAATCATTTTCAGTCTTAGAAACTCTGTAACAAAAAGTACTTTCCATCACTTCTGGAGTTGAGAAATTATTATACAATACTGCAATACTACAACTCTCTAGAAAGTACTACTTAGCTTTAGCTCACATAGTCTACAGAACAATGTTATGCATTTTCATTGATAGAAAATAAATTCAATGGACACTACTAAAAAATTTCAGAAAATAGCTACCTACATTTAATATAAAAATAAGGTCAACATTTCTATAACCATTTTTTAAAAATATACTGTAGACATATTTGTCAATAAACGAATATTTTAAAGGACTGCACATTTTTCAAAATATTCAGTTTATCTAAATTTATTTATTTGATTATATACTTATGACTATTTTCATCATCACAAGTACTACAATGATTATCCTTACATTTACATTCTGCATATCCATTCAATAATTTTTAAAAACAAATTCCCATAAGTAACTTACTCTATTCTAGTATAAAAAGCTTTTTTTTCCTAGAATTTTTTTAGAGCAATTTTGTACAAAACTGTAAAGTTGCAGGAAAAGCAGAAAAATTATTTTAGGCTCCCGCGACCTAGAGGACAGCCCTGCTATATTTCAGAAAACATCCCTTTAGAAACCTCTGTATGCATGTACATATCCACATTACTCATGATTTAAAATGAAAAGACACCATTAAACATGATGTTCTTAAAGTTTGACAACATGTGAAGGAGATACTTCAATGTAAACTAATAGACACATATAAATCTTATGAACTACATAGTATTTCACAGCTTTGCTGAATAGTTTAATCAATTCTTACCACTGAATACAATACTTCTCTAATGTTTTGTATCATAAAAGCCATACTGAATACCTCTGAACAAATAATTGTAAGACACTTACTCAATTTCCAAATAAGTAATCAAAGCCTGAATGTGTGTTACCAAAGTTTCTGCATTTCTCCCAGCAAAATCATGACAATTGATATGGGATATGCTTGTAAGAGTGGATGACACTCAATAAACGAATATTTTACTCAATACAGGATTACTAGCTTCCATCAAAATTTTAAATGTACATACTCTTTGGCCCAATACATAAAAGCCAGAGAGCCTTCTTCCTATATTAATAAGCAAAACAACAAATTATGCTAGATATAAAAAGGCAATTCACATAGAAATATACATGACTATTAGGGATGTAAGACAAATATTCAATGTAAAATCAAGTTATAAATTAAAACAACACAGCTGGATAGTAATATTTCACTGTCAGTGGAACTATAGACTCATTCAAACCTTTTAGAGGGCAAGGTAGTAATAATTATCTTCAAAAATATAATCAACACCCTTAACAGACAACCACTACTAGATAGTCAATATTCAAAGCCATTAATGGCAGCTATTTTTTAAACAGTTAAAGATAAACACAACCTGAATTTTAATCAATCATGGACCTCATAATTGGAACATAAATGTAATGGGACACCATACACTATTTGGAATGCTTCATGATACATATATGAGAGCGAGCACAAGAGCGAGTACAAGCGCACCTGCCAAAAGACATATATATACTTTAGGAAAAGAATAACAGTATGATGCATTTTCAACACATGGTGTTACCTTCATATGGGTTGACCCTAGAGCATGTGCTCCATAAAAAAGAAACTGAAAACAAATGTGCAGCAATCTCCATGGACCGAGGCTACCCAAGCATCAGTTCACCATACTAATAAACGTCTGGAACACAATGGTCACCACTTTGAGGCCAAACATAATTCATATTAATCTATGATAGCTCAATAAATTTAGCATTAAAATATGCATACAGGTTTTTCTTTTCCTAGTGTATACATTTTTGGTAGACTGTGTATACACACATTATTTGTTCTGCCGTATCTATAGCTACATGAATGAAATACTGGATTTAGATCTTGAACTCTGTAAATAGTCATTTATTAGAGGAAAGATGGTAGTAAAAATAGCATATAAGTGATAAGATATATCAATCTTATCACGTATTTCACATCTTCTATCTCTTTGTTTTGCATAATCTATTTACTCTATTTTCTTCATGTTTCCATAACTGTACCTTATTCCCTTATGAATGTGTAGGTAACTCACTGTATCTCACTATCGCTGAATATTGCTCTAAGGTGAAAGGGGTAAAATTGCTCTATTGAGTGGATATTTATTGGATATAATTTTCTGATGTGTATTATAGCTTGTAATACAAGTATAGATATTTACCTAGGTGAAAGGTAGCAAAGTAATAGTTATTATAGTTTGTCATTATCCAGTTCATTCTTTTTTTTTTCCAGTTCATTCTTGAAGCTATTGTTATTAGAGATTGTACTATCTTTGTCAAGGTGACATGGTTACTGTAAACAATCAGTCTTTCTTGAATACTACTATCTAGATTGTCATAGAAAACACGAAGTTTTCATTACTGAAGAAAAAAAATAGCATATATAGAAAAACCTATGTTTTTAACATAATTTTATATTAAAATTTTAGGAGTGTATTTTTTACTTATTGCTGATTTTCTCTAATTTTAAAATAATCATTCTATGTATTAGAAAAGTAAACAGAAATATAAACACTAATAAATACCTGGAGATAAAAATCAACCACAGATCACCTATTTATTGGTAGCAGGAATCAAGCTCAGGACCTTGCACTTGCCAGACAGGCAGTGCAACACTGAGCTCTACCTCTAGCCCAACATCTCAATTTACAATCATTTATTCTTGTTTCCCAGAAACATAAATACTTACACATTTTATCTTATGTTTTAGTTCTGGATCAATAGTCCCTCCAGGTCCAATCTGTGCAATAACTGACTTAAATGACTTCTCTAACTATGGAAAAAGGAAAAAACAAAGTCAAATCACAACCTTCCCCCCAAAAGTTAAAGATATATCTAAATAATCTTTAAAGTACGTATCTATATAAAAGAAAAATATTTGAACTAAATAAGATTGTGCTTACAAAATAACACTGTAACATTTCATACCAAAAAAACCACATAGATGGAATCGTTACAAAATAAGACAAAAATTTTTCAAGATAGGATTCATTGTAATAGATTTCAGAATGTTCAATTATTCAATCCCATACCCTTAATCAAAGAGATTTTTGTTACTCATTTTCTGCATTATTTAGTTAAATATGATTAGAGTCTTATTATCAGAAACTATACAGACAGGAACACAATGGAATGACACAAGTAAAGTGCTTCAAAAATGAAGACAAGGGTCTTTTCATTTGCACAAAAGCTAAGAATATTCACTACCAACAGGATTTTCTTACAAAACATGTTAAAAATTTTCCAGGGAGAACAAAAATTATACTAGAGGCAAATGTGGCTACAAAAGACTGGAGAACATCAGAAATAATAAGTGTAGGTAATTATTTTTATTTAAAATAAAAATATTTGAACCAAAAATAACATAGGGATATACAACATGAGAATTAAAATGTATTGCACAAATAGTACAAAGGATGAATGGAATAAATTTACTACTCTAAGATTTTTTTACATATGAAATGATACAATGTATTACAGTCAAGAGTGGTATATTTAAAATTTATGTCAGCTGACCTGGTGACACACACCTACAAGCCCAGCACTTGAGAGGCTGAGGCAGGAGGATTATCCAGAGTGTGAGGTCACCCTGAGCTACAGTGAGGTCAAGGCCAGCCTGGACTAGAGACAGCCCGTCTCAAAAAACCAAAATCAAAAACCAAAAAAATTAAATGTATGTTGCAAACTTAAGGCAGTCACTAAAAATATAAAGAGGTATAATGACACTACAGAAATGAAATAATCAGTAGCCCCCCACCAGTATTTTTCAATTATCTCTACTTCAATACTGAACAAAATTCCAGCTAATACTATAAAAAAAAGGAAATAAAAAGTACACAGATTGAGGATGAAGGAATAAAATTACCTTTCTTGACAGGTAACAAGGAATTACACAAGGATACAAGGTTAATGAGAAAAATTCAATTATAGTGATAAATGCAACAATTCACGAAGAGTATGTGAAAGTCCTAAATGTGTATACAGGTAAAAGAGATTCACAATACCCAAAGCAAAACCAATCAAAGTAAAAGGTAAAACAGATTAATTCACAATTATGTTTGACTATCTTAATACTCTCCTTCAGTAATTCACAGGAAAAGAAAAAAAAATCAGCAAAAATATACAAATCCTGAACAACACTACGACTGACTTGTGTGATATGAAATTACCTATGTAGACTACACATTTTTTGAAGCGGATTATAAATCACCTACCCAGATAAACATATTCTGAGCCATATAACAAATCTTACTAACTTTACAAGAAATGTTTTCTGATAAAATGTGGAGTTAAATTAGAACTAAATCACAGAAAAGTCTCTAAAAATCTCTGAATATCTTGGAGTTAAGCAACATTAAATAACCCATGAAATAAAGAACTCACATGGGAGATTAGAGAATATTTTTAACTGAATGAAAATAAACGGAGAGAGAACAGTTCCCTTTAAAAATCATTTACTACTTCCTAATTTCCCTTGTTTTAATCTAAGCATTTTCCTGTTTTCTTAAACTATATAGTTGGCCATAAAACAATATGATTTAGTTGTCATTTCTTCCTAATTATGACAGCATCATTCTTTTGTCTTCATGGTTACTTGTATGATAACAGCATATATAAATTGTTAAAATAACCACTTCTTTCTAGAAGAAGGTAGAAGTACAGTATCTTCTAAACTTTTGGACTTTGAGTTTGTGGTCTCATCTTAAGCCTTGTGTTGGCTCTAATTGGAACATGCCAATCTGTGGTTTCAAGAAATTTTTTAAGAAAGTACTATATGAAAGTTTACAAAATGAATGAAGTTCATCTATACTTGAATATGTAGGTAAGATAGCACACACGTGTACCAAGTGATTAACTTTGTTTTATGAATACGTATGAACCTGAGTGTCTGTTTCCCATTACTATACATGTGCAAATAAATGTGGCTTAGACTTCAGGAAAGAGCCGGGGAGATGGCTCAGGGGAATAAGTACTTCCTGGACTTTAGGAAAGAAAAGAAACTGAACATATATCAAAATTTGTGAGGAGTAATCAACTCTTTTTTTTTTTTGTACTGGGAATTGAATGTGGGTCCTTATGCTTGTCAAGCAGGTGCTTATCCCACTGAGCTATAAGCCCAGCCCTAAAGTAATACTTCAAAAAAATCCACTATTAGAAAAGATGAACCAAAATAAATTACCAAAATTCTTAGAAAAAGAGGAAACTAACAGAAAGAGGAAATAATAAAAATAGGCACTGAAATAAATGTCATAGAAAATATAAAAACGCAATACAACCAAAATCTGGCTCTTTTAAAAATATATACAAATGTATAAATATTTAGCAGACATACATGGTATGTTTAAAATGTATGATTTTTTAAATTTTAAAAACAGTACTATAGTAAAAGTCAGACACATTGCCATCAATCATCAAAACACTTCCCTCTCACTTTAAATACCATCTTTCTTGCTGCTTTAAGAAGCAGTTCTCCAAGTTATCCTCTGTCTTTAAGGTATGATCAAAACTGCAGTGAATGCTGCTGCTGAATGCCATCTAAAGGAAAGGCAGGCTTGTGAAAACATTATGTTATGTCCTCATTTACCTTATGCACTGGATCTAATATTGTGTAACTTCTGATTCTTTCTCCAAATCAAAATGACCATGGAATGGCAAAATTTTTGAATTGACTCAAGACACTGGTGGTCAAGATGGTACAAAAGAGAGGATTTCTAGAACTGCTTCAGAAAGTGAAAAGAATGGGGGGTGGGGGTGTTCAAGGACATGGGGACATTAATAGCAATGTTTTTTGTCATGAATTTTTGCAAGACTTCACCACATCAATCACACCTCATATGACAAGGAATATCTCACACAACCCTAAAAATTAAGAAATCAGGGCTGGTGAGATGGCTCAGTGGTCTAAAGCACCTACTTAGAACAAGCTTAGCAAAGCACAGGGACCACGGTTCAATCCCCCAGCACCACATGCCAGCCAGCCCCGCCCCCTGGTGGGCTGAGCTGGCCACACACACACACACACACACATAAATACAAAATTAAAAAAAAAAATTAAAAAAAAAAAAAAAGAAAGAAATCATTGCCAGGAGTGATAGCACATACTTGTAATCCTAGCACTTGGGAGGCTGAGATAGCAGGATCTCTGCGAGTTCAGAGAGGGTGATCCTAAAGAAGGTAGCAATTTTAAAAAGTGCTATGTTTGAGCTCCAGCACTGCTGCCAACATCCCGCAACAATGAGTGTTCTAAATTACTATAGGGCTGGGAAGATGGCTCAGTAGGATAAGCGCTTGACTGGCAAACGCAAGGATCTGAGTTCAATCCCCGGTTCCAGAAAAAAAAAAAAAAAAAAAAAAAAGTAAATTACTATAGGGAGGCCTATAGTAAATATACAGGGGGCCTACTTGTCTTCACTGAAATCAGAGTCCTCTTTGTTTTGGAAAAAGGATGTCAATGAGTGATTCCTAGGGTTTGTCAATATCCAGTTGACCTTTGTTGTCATTGAATTTATTCTACCATAGACAAGATAATATAGCAATGGCTAGGAACTGGTTTTTTCTCTGTGCCAATACCTGGATTGCTGGGGTGGGACGTGTCACACACAATACTGTGGCTTGCTCTGAAGGAAAAAAACCAACGAGTTTGCTAATTCCAGCACAAAGAAATAAACCAGAAACATGAAAAGAAAGGGGATCAAAATGCCTCCAAAAACTCAACTCCCCCTAAGGTACAGCAGGCGATGAAGAAATCATATTCTACACAATAGATGGGTCTAAAAGGCACAAATAGAGGTAAAACAGTTCTATAGGTATGTGGTGAATTTAAAGAAGATATAACTAGCCACAATAAAACAAATGATCAGCAAATGTAAATAAGATACTAATAAACTGCTAATGGAGCTAAAGAGACAAAAATAATGCCCAGGGATGGGTGGATAGCTCAGGCCCCTGGCAAGCACAAGGTCCTGAGTTCAATCCCTAGTACCACATGCCATACCAGCTCCAGAACCTTCGATACCTGTGCCAGCCTGAAACTGGGCATGGGGGCACAAGCCTATAAATGTATCAAAAGGAGGATTTTTTTTGGGGGGGGGGGCTGGCTCAGAATGCCTTCAGGGCAGGTTTGGCTGGTTTGAGTTCTGGAGATTGAACCACAGCAATCTGAGCCTGACTGCTTTTTTGAAGCAGCCACTTAAATAACTGAGCTAAGGGGCAGGCCTCCTTGAGAGACCATGTATCAGAAAGAAAAAAAAAAAAAAAAAAAGAATGCCCAGAATAGAAAAGAATGGGAGTCCATAAGAAAGCTCTAAGCAGAACTCTAGGAGATTAAAAACATGTTTGAAAATATGGGTAGCATGACGACAAAGTGCCAGACTTATAAGACAAAGCTTGTGGTCATGACCAATGAATAAGAGATACTTAAAAACAACAAGAGAACATGAAACATAGATCAAACAGCTCCTAGATTACTCAAAGAGACATAATATAAAAGTAATTGGAATTAACAAAAAATGAGAAGACAACACAAAGGGCATTTAAAAAACCTGTTTACATAAGTAGCAGCAAAAAACTTTTCAGACATGGAAGAACTTAACATATAGATAAGTGAACCATAAAAAAATTCTACACCACATAATAATTAAAATACCTTAGATACAACGCAAGAACAGAATCTGTTGTTAGAAAACAGCAACAAGTCACCTATGAGGAAAACCTATCAGAGATTTGTCAATACAAACCTTAAAGGCAAGGAGACTATGGAATGAAGATCTTAAA